CTCGTGTCTGAGGCGCCCCAGGAGTCGAACGAGACCACACAGCAGGCCTATGGGCCTCCAGCCGCCGTCGGGCTTGGCCAGGAAGAATATGAAAACCTCCTCGGCCTGCGACGGAATCCTCAGCAGGTACTCCACCCAGTGGAGGATCAGACAGAGCGCCTCCAAGCCCCCGTCGCTGAGGTGCCCGAAGGAGGAGGGCTTGATGCAGTCAATCCCCGTCGCCGCGGCTGCCTTGAACTCCCCTGCGGCCGCGACCACGTCCGGCACGCGGGGGTGGGGAGGGCAGTCCTCCAAGAGATCGGGCGGCAGCACCTCGTCCAAATCCAGCGGCCCTTCGAGCCCGTAGCGCCACACCTGCTGGTACTCGGCCTTGAGCGCGTCGAGGGTCGCCCCGATCCCAGCTGGCCCTCCGACACCTGCCTCGACCTCAGGGTCAGTAGGCTCCTGGACGTCAGGCGACCACCCAATCGGAGCTCTGCAGAAGCCGTGCGCGGCACCCCCGCTGTCCTTCACCGCGTCCTGGGCCCATGCTCGCCACTGCTGGCCACGCTCCTTGCGGAACTTCGACTCCAGCTTCTCTGCATGCCCGCGGGCCCGCGCCTGCACCTCGACGACGTCGCTGTACGCCAACCTGCCAAGCCGACGGAGGAGCCACCTCATGGACCTCACCTCGCTGCTGCCGACGTCGACGTCGCCCAGCTCCTGCGCCGCGAGCTTGGCGACCCTCCTCTGGAGCTCGTCCAGACGGACGCACATCCTCTAGCGTCGGCCGCCATGCCGAAGTTGGCGGCGGGCCTCGAGCATCTCCGAAACCGTGGTGCTGATCTTGCGCCAGCGCGCAGCGACAGGGCACCCTCTGGCGAATGGACCTCCCGTCGGGAGCCTGACGGCCTCCTTCTCGAATACCCTCTGCTCGCTGCGCCCGATGTACCGCGGTCCCTCATCCTCGAGGTGGTAAGCTCCGATGAGGTCCAGCTCGAGCAATCGCATGAACTCCGCGTACGCCGTGTTCAGGCCGATCTGCGCCGCCGCCTTCGCGCTGCAAGCCGCCGACGAACTCCCAGTACTTGTGGGGCTCACCAGGCCCGTGGGGGCAACAGGGGTGCCCCGATCCCCATGAGGAAGTCCATGTGGCGACTTCTGCTGGCCCTTCTCAGGGCCAGTGAGTGCGCCGCTTGACGCGGAAGCCCCCGTACCGGCCCTCGCCGAGGAAGAAGAAGAAGAAGCACCCTGAGTGGTCAAGTCTCCGCCCGAGCGCCCCAGCAACGGCCCCGGCGGCCCGGCGGCGGCCGGGGCGGGCCCGGGGCGGGAAACCTGAGTGGCCGAGTCTCTGGCCGGGCACCCCGGCGGCGGCCCCGGCGGCCCGGCCGGCCCTGGCGGCGGCCCGGCGACGGCCCCGGCAGCGCTCCGAGCGGCCCCGGCGGCGCGCCAGGCGGCCCCGGAGGCGCTCCCGGCGGTCCCCGGCGAGTTTGCGTCAAGATTTTCATGGACACAAATCGCGAGCCCTGCGACGCTGGCGGCCGCTGCGGCCTCGGCGGCGCCTCCGACGGCCCCGCCAGCGCCCACGGCGGCGTGCCCAGCGGCCTCGGAGGCGCTCCCGGCGGCCCCGGAGGGGGGCCCCGGCGAGTTTGCGTCAAGATTTTCATTGACACAAATCGCGGGCCCTGCGACGCCGGCGGCCGCGGCGGCCTCGGCGGCGCCTCCGACGGCCCCGCCAGCGCCCACAGCGGCGTGCCCAGCGGCCTCGGAGGCGCTCCCGGCGGCCCCGGCAGCCTTCTCAAGCTGCCGAAAGGCGTCCACCGACCGCCTGAGCACGCCAAGTAAAGGCTCCCAGTCGGGCGGCTCCCGACGAGGCCCCACGGGCCTGGCACCTGGAAAGACACGAGGCGCTCGCATGACCAGCTGCTCCTCGTCCGTCTCCTTCCCTCCAAGCTCCAGCGTGACGGAGTAGTGCGGCGCCAGCACGCAACTCCGTCGCCTGCACCCCTTGACGCGGCTGGCTAGGCCCGTACTGACCACGAAATAATCGATTTCGGAGCCGCTGCCGATCCTGCAGGTGTTCTGCCCGCAGCTCGCGATCATGCCTCCGACCTGCTGCGTCCAGCCCCACTCCTCGAGCGCCGCTGGGTCGCAGTTCCAGTCGCCGCCAATGCCTCCTCCTCCTCCTCCTCCTCCTCCTCCTCCTCATCCTCCAAGCGAACCTCCCTGTGAGCCGTCTCCTGCTCAAGCGCCGCCGCGGGCTTGGAGGCGGCCGCCGCCCTGGATCTCGCGCGACGCGCCGCTCCCCGCCCCGAGCTGCCCGCTGCAACTCCGTATCCCGTGACAGCGGGACATGGACTGCTTTGGTCCTTGGGCTCCGTCTCGTTCTCGGCCTTGACCATCGCGAAGCCGAGCTGTTCGGGCCTCGGTGGCAACTTGTCGATCATGTATACCCCCTCGCCTTCGTCGCGGCAGCCCCCTTGAACTTCGAGCGCGGGAGTAGCCAATGCCCGCTCCTACGGGCCTTCAGGCGGTAGCATCTCGTACCGGCAGGTAGCGACAGCTCTCGACGTCCTGGCCCGCATAGGTGTAGAGTGCCAGGGCCGCACCCCATGACTGCGTCAAGCTTCTTCAGGGAATTGCTTCCAAGCAGTGCCTGGACGTCGCTGTCAGGGATGACGGGCGCCGTGCACGAGTTCAGTTTGCCGGTGCTTTCTCTGTCTTGGCTGATCTCCTGCGTGCCCGTCGGTAATCGCCACTGTTGGCGGCAGTGGTCGGGGCCCTTGCCGACGCCGTTAACCTCTAGGGGTTCGTTCAGCATTTTCTCTTCGGTGTTGTGTCCAAAGCACGATGCCTTGGCTGCCTACCGCTTGGCCCGCCGATCCCCTGCGAGGTTCCCGTGAGCTCCCAGGTCAACGAGGATGCCCATTCCCCCGTTGTCGAGCCTCGTCCATTCATGGCCGAGGTAGTGCGTCTCGCTCTCCTTTTCAGCGCCCAGACAAACCCGTGGAAGTCCTTCTCCGTGTCCGCAAAATCGATGCTCTAGTTCTGATCGTAGCCCGCGCGCGCGACCTCCTCATCCAAGGCGCGCTTCTCCAAGTCATCGAAGTAGCCCTCAAAATCGTTGTCGAAGATCGGAAGGCCCCCCTGCAGCTATGCAACTACGGCCGCGTGAGTATCATCGCCAGGTGCACTCGAGATCTGCTCACGGCGTGCCGTTCGCGCTCGGCGGTGTGACCGACGCTTTCGACGGAACTGCTGTGAACTTGAGACCGGCGATGCTGAAGGCCTCCTGCTGGGATTCCTCGCATGCGTCGAACCTTCTTAGTCCTTTTGGAATTGTCGGTGTTGTTGTCGGCGTAGCTGCTTTCGGTCAGACCATGCCTGACGGCGGAACTGGAGGGCTTGCTGGCTTGGCCCCAGCGGTCTCTCCAGCAGCCGTCGAGATGGAGGATGGACTAAGTGTTTGGTCGAGCCCGAAGGCCAGCTTGTCTGGCGTGAGTCCCCGGGGGGCTCGCCATGTTCCTCGTCTCGCTCACGCTCAGCATGCCCACTATAGGAGAGGCTGGTCTTCCACTCGCCGATGACGTGGGCCCGCTCGGCCTCCAAGGTGGTTCCCCAGTGGCGCTCGGCAGGGCTGCCTCGGGTCCGTCTTCCAGCCCGCGTCGGTCTTCAGTGGCAATCTGCGGCTCCGCCACGGCCGGTGCGATCGCGACCCCAACGGCTCCTTGCGAGCCTGTCGCGCTCGCAGTACTGCCGGTGGCTTCCGGCGTCTCGTTGGTCACAATGCTCTATGCCGCGAAGAAGTTGATGGCTCCAGAGCCGTAGGCTGGCGCCGACGATTTGCTCGGACATGTCGCGGCCGCCGTGGGTGAATTGGCGGCAGCACCTGAGTTGAATCCAAACCAGGGTACTCCGGCGCAGTCTCCAGCAACCGGACGAGGTCCGTCGGTGATGAATGACCCTTTCTTATTTGATTTCCCGCCTTGACGGTGCGGGCAGTCTTTAACCAGATGGAGCTCGCTTTCGCATCCCTTCGTCGAGCACTTCATCACCTTGCCATCTCGACCAACGGGATTGCGTCTGCCTTTTCCTTCAAAGTGATAACCTTTGCCTCCGCGTCCTCGCTGCCCGAAGGCCCCTTCGGAAGGGCATCAGTGATCCTTTTCCGCTCTTACCTTTACTAACGCTGGAAACGCGTGGGCCGTCCTGTGAATATCCCTCAGCGCTTCTTGTGGATTGCGTAGTTCTGGTAGAGGTACTGCTGGATCACATCGTCGTCCTTGCCCATGGTGCCGAGGAAATCCGATCCGTCCAGGTCCTCGCCGTCGTCTTCGTCTGCGCCCGCATCGTTGTATTCGACGTTGCCTGAACCAAGGTAGTTGGCCCACGGGTCGGATGAACTTGCTGTTGGCAACCGCGGCACCGAAGGACTCCATCCCGATCCTTGGACTTCTTGGGTGGCGGGGTAAGCTCCTTGCGGTGTCATGCCGCTCCCTGTTCCAAGTCCAGTGGTGCTGGAGCCTCCAGTCCGTGGCGGGCCAAAGCTCTGCCACCAAGTCGAGGGGCCTCTCCTCCCGACGCTGGCGTCACAGCACCGGCATTCTCTCCGATGTCCACGCCCTCGGGCGCAGGCCCGCGCCGCCGCGCGCAGGCCTCAGTCGCAGGGCCCTGGGCCCAAACAGCCGCGGCGGGTTGCCGCGCTCGCCCGCGCTGCCCTTGCCCCCCACGTCCCACCCCCAGTTCTCGACTTCCTCCTCCTCCTCCTCCTCCTCCTCCTCCTCCTCCTCCTCCTCCTCCTCCTCCTCCTCCTCCTCACAAAAACCGTTTGGGCTCAACTGCGCCGCGGCGCTATTCAGCCGCGCCCCGCACCTTTTGCGAGGTGTTCTCGGGCTACGCCGCCGCGCCGCGCGCCGTGGCGCGAGCCCCCAATAAAGGCGGAGCAGAGCAAGCAATAAACTGCCGATGTGGCCCCCCCCTACGGCGGTCGCTGGTGCTCGTGCGGGGCGGCCTACTGGCAGACGCCCTCGGGCCAGCCGCGGGCGCCGGAGGCGCATGGAGCCATCGTGGCCCTCCGCGCCGACATCGCGGGTTTGCGCGCGGAGCTGAGCGCCGCGGGCGAGCGGCCACTCCAGGCGGCAGCGGCGACGGTCGAGGCCCCAAGGAGCGAGGTGGAGCAGCTGGCAGACGAGGTCGACGAGGCCAGCGAGGGCGACCGGCAGAAGCCGCGGCGCCCTGCAGCCTGCCAAGTGCGCGGTGTTGCCGCAGCGAAGCCCTTCGCGTCGCCCACGCGCGTCGAGGCGCTGGCGGAGGAGGCCGGCTGCGACGGCGAGGGCTCGCCGACCGCTTTCTTGGCCAGCCAAGTGACGGGCGGAGCCGACGAGTGCGAGTGCTGCGTCCTGGACCCGCTGCTGGACTTCGTCGCCGCTGGGGGCGGGAAGAGGGAGGGGCAGCCCTTCGTTCGCCGCCGCGCCCAGGACGGCGAGGACGTGAAGGGCGAGCTGGGCGCGACGACGTCCGCGTCGCAGCCCGCGCTCTGCGCCCTCACGGGCGAACCGGTGATAGAGCTGGCCGTCGAGGGCGTCGGCGGCCAGACGGGCGTCGCTCCGCTGGCAGCGGGCGGCTTCGACGTCGCCGCGCTGCTCGGCAGCGAGCTGGAGAGCATCGATGGGCAGCAGGGCGTTAACCACAGCGGGCCCCTGCGCGGCGAGGGGATGCGCCACTGCGACGGCGAGCGCAAGCTGGAGGGCCTCGGCGTGAAGAAGGACTTCGGCTACCGCCAGCCCCTGCGCGGCGAGGGGGCAGGCCACGGGGGGGGCGAGAGCAAGCTGGAGGGCATCGACGCGCCGAAGGACGTCGACCGCGGCGAACCCTTTACGGGCGGCAGCGGTACAGGCTGCGCCCAGAACCAGGCCCAAATCTCCACGGGGCCCTGCTGGAGGCTGTCGACCACGGCAAGCTGGATGGCAGCGACGCGCGGAAGGGCGTCGGCTACGCCGGGCCCTTGCGCGGCGAGGGGGTGGGCCGCGGCGAGTGCGAGGTCAAGCAGAAGGGCGTCGACGTGATGAGGGGCGTCGACCACGGTGCGAGGGCAAGCTGGAGGGCAGCGACGCGCTGCAGGACGGCGGCCACGGTGGACCTTTGCGCGGCGAGGGGGTAGGCCACAGTGAGTGCGAGGTCAAGCTGGAGGGCCCCGACGTGACGAAGTGCAAGTTGGTGGGCATCGGCAAGAAGGGCAGGCCGAGGAAGAAGGGGAAGGCCGCGCGGGCGACGGAGAGCGCCGCAGGCTTGTCCACCGCGGACGACGCCGCCAAGCGGGCCAGGCGGGCGCTCAGCCTGGCCTCCGCCGAGTGCTGTGGGCTGGAGGCCCAAGATCGCAGCCGCCCGCGCCGACCTCGCCATCGAGGAGATCGAGGTGCGAGCGGCGGCGGTGGAGCTGGCGTTGGCGGGCGGGGCCTGGGACGAGCCCCCCGCCTGAGGCCGCTGGCCTTCCCGTGCCTCGGGCGCGGGGGTGGGGCGTGGCGGCTCGACCGTCACTCTTCCGCTTCGCTCTTGCGCTTGCTCCTGCTCCTCCTCCGCCGCCGCCGCCTCCTCCCCCTCTCTCGTCTCTTCTCCGTTCTCTCCTCTGCTCAAAATGTGGCCCCTCCTCTCCCCCATATCCCGCCCCTCCGCCATCCACCTCCTCCCTACCCCTGCCCCCGCGACCCATCCTCCCTCTGTCCTCTTCTCCCGCTGGCCCCCCAGCTCCCCTGACTCTTTCTCCCCCTCCTCGCATCCCACTCTCGCCGCCCAGTCATCATCGCGTTGTTCCTCTCCAACGTCTCAAACGTCAGCACTACACTCACTCAAGACGCAGAAGTGGGGCCGTTCAGGTTCAGGAGGGGTTCTGGTCCACGGGCCGTTCCTTAGATCTTGGTCGGGGTGCTTATTCGTGCCGAGGCTTGCCGCGGCCAGAACAAACCTTTTGCTTCTGATGTGGAAGGCCCTTCGGACGGCGCCGCCGACCCTGAAGGGGGACGACGACGGCTACGACGACGACGGCGGCGGCGGCGGCGGCGACGACGACGACGACGAAGCTGACACTGTGGGGCCCTCCTTGGGACTTCTTCGGGACCCTATTGGTCTCTGTTGGGGGGGCTCCTAGGGGAATTCTTGGGAAGTTCCGTGGCCACTCAGAGCCGCTTCGGAGCAGATCTCCGGAGGCACGTCGGGAAATACGTAGCACCCCGGAACAGCAGATAAGAATGAGGAGGGTGCCTCCGGGTACTCCAGATTTCGTAATAAAGGGAGGGGGGTCTCATTTCGGGGGGGTCTCTTCCAGGCTATCTTGGAGGGCCTGGGGGGTCTGGGGACGATGTTTTGGAGGGTTCTCCCACGGGGGAGGTCTGAAATGGCTTGTCCTGGAGGGTCCAGACCCCCTCCCTTTTATTATGAAATCTGGAGTATGGGGGGGGCGTCCTGAGGTTTGTCCACGGGTGGACCACCTCCCTGTCCCCTTTTCCACTAGGGGGACCCTCTGGTGGGAAGGCCACGACCCCCGGCCCCCCCGGGACCCTCCCCTGCTGCCCCCCCCTTCCAGGGAACGGATCAAAAGGAAGGGGCTCCTCCTCCTCCTCCTCCTCCTCCTCCTCCTCCTCCTTCCCGCTTCCCCTCGAATAAGGTGCGACGTTGTTTGATTTCTGTCTGGTTCGTCCGCTTGCGGAAAAAAAGGGCTCAGGGAACGGGGGAGGCGGCGGCGGCGACGACGACTCGAGCGGGAACGCGTTTCACACATGCCGACAGGGTCGCTGGATTCAGCGTTCTCTGTGGTAGCACACTGCACGTAACCATCCCATCCCCTCCTTCCCTCCCTCCCTCGCAGATCTGTGCGTTGCGTAAACCCTGTGCCACCGTGTTAACTCCACAGGCAAATTCATTTCGCACGATTCTTGAAGGTGTGACCCAAAAGGTCTCCAGTAAATCTGAGAAGGCTCTGAGGGGCCGAGAGTACTGCAAGTCACAGGCACTGGCATCGCCACTGGTTCCTACTCCTAGTCCTATTCCTACTCCGCGCTCCCCAGGAGCACCGCGACACCCGCGCTCCCCGCAGGGGCGCGCGTCCGCAGGCGCGAGCGCGCGCGCACGCGCGCTCGCGGCGGGGTGCGGCATTTTTCCTCGCAGTTCGCCGCGTCGTGTGTTTCCTCTTGCCCGAAGGAGCGAAAAACGGCACGAGCGTGGCCGTTCCGAGGTCCGCGCAGATTTCGTAGAGCTGCGCGGGGCCCCCCGGGCGGGGCGCCTCCGGCCTCACCCCTGGCGCGTTCCGCGCGCCAGGCAGAGGGGGTGCCCAGCGCCGATCCGGGACATCGGTTTGGAGTTCCGACAATTTGTGTCAAGGCCGTTGTTTGTTCCTCCGTTTCTGTGTCGCGTATCTGCGGCCGTCGAGGGCGCCCCGCGGGGCCCCCCCGACGGCCGCCAGAGACGATCACGCCGCGCCCTCTTGGAAGGTGGATGCCAGGGAATGGTGGAGATGAGAGGCGAAGGGAGGGACGGAGGGAGGGAGGAGGAGAGATGAGGGAGAAGGTGGAGGGTGACGACGACGACGACGACGACGACGACGTCGACGACGACGAGCCGAAGGAGAGAGAACTGGGACGGAGACGGGCATGGGTCAGAGGACGAGGTGGACGTGGATGTGGATGGCGCGCGTTTCGTGCGCAGGCTGCTGGGGAGCTCAGTGCTTCGAGCATGCTGGATCTCAAAGTCGGGGCCTGAGCTCGGTGGAATGCAGAGCATGTGAGGAGTTTGTTTGGTGCTGTGCTCCTTGGGTGGGGGATCCTTGCCCTAGAAGGCTGCATGACCAGGCCCGCTGGCTAAATAGACAACGACCCGCCGCTCCTGGAGCGCGCTCCAGGGGCGACCGGCGCGCATCGAGGCCCATCCCCGACACCCAGGAGGATGGAAAACCGAGGCTCCCGCCGTTCCGCCCAGGTATCCTGGCTTACCTCAGTCCACGCGTGAACCCTGCCATTCCAGCAGGCGCAGCAGCAACAGCCTTCTTCCCTGTTGAAGGCTCGTGCGGCAGCCGAGCGCCCAGGAACCAAACCTTTCCCCAGGGCCTGGAGATACCGCGCCCCTGCGCCGCCGACCTGGTGCTGATAGTTTTTCCTCGCAGGGCGCGGAGCTGGGAGGTGGCGAGCGCGCCACAGCTCGCGCAGCACCAGAGGCGGCCCTGCGCGCGCAAGAACCGATCATGAGAGGAAGGAGAAGGTTCGGGCCGGACGAAAGGGGGGGATTGGGCAAGGGGGGGTTACGAAATCTGCTGCATGCAGCTGGTTTCGGCCCCGCCTTCGGTTCTTGCGCGCGCAGTGCCGCCTCTGGTGCTGCGCGCGCAAGAACCGATCATGCAGCTGCTCAAGAACCGATCAAGAACCGATCGTGAAACGTGCAGTTTCGACAGGCTCACGGCACCTCACGTCGCCAGGCCGCGCGGGTCGTGCGCGCTCTGGCCCGCGGCACGTCGATCCGAGCCAGGCGAGGGCGCGATGGCGGGGTTGCAGCCCGCACGCGGCGCCGCATCAGGTGCCACCCCATCCCGGTCGGACCGACGTCCACGCAGTGGGCACCCGGCGGGCCGCGCGACGCTTCGCCAGCGTCGTGGGCCGCCGCCGCATCCTGATCCAGGCTGCCACGCGCTGGCACGCGGGCACCCTCCGCCGGCATATGGCTGCGCATCCCTGTGAGGTCGCGAGACCCGACTGGAAGGCCGCTGTGGAGATCCGCGGCCAGGCCTGCCATCTGGGCGTAAGTCGGGCGTGCCCCGTTACAGGAGGAATATCCGAAACTAGTACAGCAAGTCTGGGGACGGTTTTTGTTTGTAGTGTTTTCGAATCGTTTTCGACTATGTTTGTCCCCACATGTTTCGTGGGGTTCTGGTTTTCTTCTTTGCCGCGCCGCACCCGCGACACCTCCACACACACCTCACTCTTCCTCTCCTCACAGCACTGCTCAGCACAACTCAGCTCAGCACGGCACAGCACAGCTCAGCTCATCCCAGCACAGCACAGCGCAGCACAGCACAGTATAGCTCAGCCCAGCTCAGCACAGCACAGCACAGCATAGTTCAGCCCAGCTCAGCACAGCACAGCTCAGCTTAGGGGGTGCGCAGGGGGTGGTCCCTCACCGCGGCCGCACGCAGGAATGCAGGGTGCGGCAGGCGTGGCAACGTCTCCATAACAGAGGCGGTGCGCGGGGGGTGCGGTCTCTATGCGTTGCAGGCGCGCAGGGCACGGCAGGCGCGGCACTTTCTCGACACCAGGAGGGTGCGCAGAGGGTGCGGTCTCTATGCGTTGCAGGCGCGCAGGGCACGGCAGGCGTGGGAATTCTCGACACCAGAGGGATGCACATGGGGTGCGGTCTCTATGCGTTGCAGGCGCGCAGGGCACGGCAGGCGCGGCACTTTCTCGACACCAGGAGGGTGCGCAGAGGGTGCGGTCTCTATGCGTTGCAGGCGCGCAGGGCACGGCAGGCGTGGGAATTCTCGACGCCAGAAGGGGTGCGCAGGGGGTGCGGTCTCTATGCGTTGCAGGCGCGCAGGGCACGGCAGGCGCGGCACTTTCTCGACACCAGGAGGGTGCGCAGGGGGTGCGGTCTCTATGCGTGGCAGGCGCGCAGGGCACGGCAGGCGTGGCACTTTCTCGACACCAGGAGGGTGCGCAAAGGGTGCGGTCTCTATGCGTTGCAGGCGCGCAGGGCACGGCAGGTGTGATTCTAGAGGCCCGCGGACCCCCAAGAAACCACCTTGGGCCCTCTAGTTGCCTGTACAGCCTAGCCCAGAACCCCTGAACCCTTTTCCCTGTACTGTTGTTTTGGTTCAGGGAAAGGGGGCCTGGCGGCCCCCTTTCAGGAGCCTGCGCGCTGGGTACTGAAAAGAATCCGATCAGTCTCATGTTCCCAAAGTACGTTACCCTCTCAGATGTCCGAGAGACCTCGAGGAACCAGGAGCCCATCCACATGTGGTAAGCGGAGCGACGGCAACGACAGCGGCCACGACAGCAAGCAGAGATGGGAAATCGTGGATGACGACAACGGGGGCGACAACAATCGGATTCAGAACAGTACACGGCAGAGCAGCTCGTGGGACCTTTGGAGTTCATGGACCAAACATCGAGAAGCCGATTGGGGAGTTCGGCAGTGGGCAAGCGACGGGTATAACGATGACCACTGGACCGAGAACGACAGGTACGAGCATGACAGACACGATGACACACAGTCGGACAGATCATCACGATCGAGAGGTTTCGGCACGCCAGAGCAGGTCAAGAAGGCGGTAGGCTTTCATCGAGGACGACTTGAACTGGACGAAGACCAAGATGGAGGACGACGATCACCAGGAGGACGCAGAGGAAAATATCCACCGTGTCCAGCCTGGGACGGAAAGGATCTCAGCGAGTGGCCCGAGAAGAGGCTGGCCATAGACAGGTGGGGCCGACTTACGGCGGTCCCACCTGAGGAGCAGGGCGAGACGCTGCTGCTGCGCCTGACGAGGGAGGCGGCGACGGCGACGATACATCTTCGACCAGGAAGTGTGCAGTTCGCCGGAGGTCTGCAGACGGTGATCATGGCGCTGGACACGCTGGCCTTCCCAGAGGCGGACGCCGAGAAGTTTCAGCAGCTCGAGAAGACGCTTTTCGCAGCACCGAGAGCGCGAGACGAGACGCTCATGAAGTTCACGAACAGGATCCGCTCGGAACAGAAGGAGCTGGTCAAGCTGCTACCGAACGCGCTCAACGAGACGGTCATGGGTTTTCTGCTGCTTCGAGGGGCCGGCTTGGCCAAGACGGAGCGCAACCAAGTGCTCATCCAGACGGGCTACGACTACGACGTGAACAAGCTGGTAGCGATCCTGAAGCGCATGACGGATGACAACACGGTCACGGAGAAGACTTGGCGAGAGTTCGGAAAGAGGAGCCGCAGGGGGCTACTGAAGACGAGGGCGAGGACAACCCCATCTACGACGCGATGGCGAACCTGCTGGGCATAGACGACGACAAGGAGCCAAACGACAAGCTCGAGAACGGCGAGGCTCTCACGGAGGCCGAGGCGCTGGACTGCTTGGCGGCGCTGGTCAGGCCACCACCAAAGCCCAGGACATGGGGCGAAGCTCGGAAGATCGTAGCCGACAAGAAGACGAACAGAGGGTTCCACAACATCAAGGACAGGAAAAGGACCGAGGAAAAGATAGAAGACGTCAAGAAGCGGACGAAGTGCGGCATCTGCAAGAAGCTGGGTCACTGGAACAAGGAGTGCCCCGACAATCCGAAGAACAAGGTCAGGGCGACGGGCGGCTTCTTCGCGATGACGGTGCTCCAGGACGACGAGGCGTGCAGCTACGTGGCGACGGAGGCGAAGATGGCGGCGAGATCCAACATGGTGGAGCACGTCACCCTGGCGATCGACATCGAGAAGCCTGGCAGACCAGGCTGGGGCGCGGTCGACACGGCATGCGGCTGCAACATGATGGGCCTTGTCACCTTCGACGCCTGGGCCAAGCACTACAAGGACGTGCACAGCATCACGCTGGAGACGGTGCCCTACCACAAGTACAGGTTCGGGAACGACCAGGTCTGCACGGCGACTGAGGGAGTATTCATTCCGATCGTGCTGGGCCATGTTAGCGGGGTGATCTTCGCGCGCCTGGTCAAGGGCGCGGCGCCGCTACTGCTCTCCAAGACGTTCGTCGTGGAGCTGAAGGCGTCGCTACACGCGTTCCAGTCGGAGTTGGACCTGCCAGAGCAGAACGTCAGACTTCCTCTGGCCCACGCTGGAGGTGAGCACTTCCTGCTGCAGCTCGACAACTTCGTGCGCCCGTGGAAGAAGCCTGAGAGCTGGACTCTGTGCTCGAGGGAGGTTTCGATGGACTTCGGAACGAGCTCGGAGTACATCCATCTATCATCTACGTCAAGTCCCAAAGACCTCGAGAGGCCCCAGAAGATCGGAAGCTGCTGCTTATCGGGCGTCTTGGGCACTACGGCGGTTTCAGAACAACCTGAACAACGGGTAAGAGAAGATCGTAGGACGAGCACTCGATACATAATAGCAGCACTAGCACGAGCACCAAGGGGAGTTGGAGGAGCACGAGGTCCGGAGGCTAGAGTACAAGAGCACGGCAACGTGTTAGACGAGACCAACAGCGACCAGCGGGGCAGCATCGACAAGCCCGGGGACCACTTCCAGAACCAATCCGAAGCACCAGGACAACCGGTGTCAGAAGGACGAGCTGGAGGAGGAGACCGAGGACTGGGAGCAGCTGGACGAGTCCCCACGGAGCAAAGCCTTGACAGCGCTGCGCGAGCTACTTCAGGACGAGAACGCCAACGCGACGACCAATCAGCTGGCGGAGAACCTCCGCGAACACCTCGGAGCCGACATCAGCGACTGCTAGAGAAGCTCAGCGACAAGCAGAACAGCATGATCAACAAGTCCATTAAGCAGATCAGCGACTTCGAGGACCTGACTCAGGCAGTGGAGGCCGCGATCCCCGAGAGCAGCACCTTCATGAATCAGGCCAACCTCAACTTCGAGCCCGAGCTGGACCACCTCAAGGAGGACGATCGAGCGGAAAAGAGCTTGACCAACATGGAGATCGTGACGCTCATGGGTTCCCATCTGCTGACGAGGATGGGACAGCGAGAAGTGCGGGGCAAGCTTCAACACTCAGCACCTCTCGTGATAGTTATCAAGCCTCCGAAGGACATCTACAACGCCAAGTTAAAGGAGAAGATCAGCAAGGAGATGCTGACGTTCATCTCAGACGTGGCGATCAAGTAGGCCGTCAACGGCAGGTACTTCTACTACGAGCAGGACATGAACTCCAGGGACTGGGAGGATCCCCTTATCAAGAAGCTCAAGCGTCTACCAGACGTCGGCGAGGACGGAGCGCTTCGGAAGGGCCGCAAGTACTTCTCCAATCTACCCAATGAGGCCATCGAGTACGCCAAGTTGTTGAGCCAGGAGTTCGTGAATCGACCACCTCACACCGCCCTCGGGGACACCGACGACTCCCTACAGGAGCTGGTTGGGGCGCTAGTTCGGACGATCATCAAGATGAAGACCACGAAGGAGCTCGGGAAGCACACCGAGGACAAGTGTACAGCATGCTGCGCGGCACCTACGACACCAACAACGGCACCAAAAGACGAGAAGAGCACGGACCCTCACGTCAAGCAGCAGGTTCGCAAGATCCATGAGAACATGGGCTACTGCAGCAACGAGAACCTGGTCATGGTGCTGAAGTACGGCAAGGCCAGACAGGCCTTCAATGAGGCGGCGCAGAAGCTCGGGTGCCCGAGCTGCGAGGCGAATAAGAGGCCGAAGCTCGCGAAGCCCTTCAAAGCTCCGACTACCTACCAGTTCAGCGATGTCATCGGCATGGACATCTTCTTCGTGTTGGGACCCGAGAACACCGCCGAGGTGCCCATGCTGAATATTGTCTGCCACGGTACTGGACATCAAGTTGCGATACCTCTACCGGGTCGACATGGCCTTCAGATACGACGTCATTACCGCGCATTCTGGAAGCGTGTCTACGGGGTGCCACGCATGATAGTCATTGATGGCGAGAAAGGCTTCTCTGCAGGTGAGTTTCCAGAAGCTGCTGAAGGAGACGGTTCCGGGATCAAGGTGACGAGTGCCGCTTCACCATGGCAGGCGGGCAAGACCGAGCGCGCTGGAGGCACCTGGAAGGAGACCTTCTACCGAACCAGGCAGAAGTTCAACACCAACAACTGGGAGGACTTCTACGAGCTCGTGGATGCGGTCAACGTGGCGATGGGCGAGAGCGTTCGCCGAGGAGGCTTTACACCTTATCAGAGAATTTTCGGACGACCATCTCGACTTCCTGAGAAGATCTTAGAAGAAGGATCACCAAGTTTGTCAACGGTCCCCAGAGCGATGAACGGTGACACCGAGTTGGCCAGGAGCATCGACATGCGCAAGGCCGCCATGGCTGCCTACATCGAGGCCGAGTGTTCAGAGAAGTGGAGACGGGCGCTTCAGAGGAGGACGAGACCTACAAGAGGCACCATTTGTCAGCCAGGAGATCGGTGTTATTTCTGGCGAAGCAGTACTGACAAGCTGCCAACCAGTTCCTGGCATGGACCTGCACGTGTCATCCAGGTAGAGCTGCCTAGTACAGTGTGGTGCTCATATCAGGGAGGTCTACTCAAGCGCTCACCTGAACAGCTTCGACATGCTAACGAGGCCGAGGTCGCAGCCTGGGAGCATATCGACAACGCCATGAAGGAGGAGCTGAACACCGAGAACAGAGGACGTCGTAAAGACGAAGACCTCACTCGACAAGATCAGCCACCAGACGATCTCGAAGTGCCTCACGTTGCTCCACCAGAGCCGGCTGCGGATGATCAAGGAGCTGCCTCACAGCCGCCCATCACAGAGATCGAGAAGGCCGCGGATGTCAACCCAGAGCTGATTCCCATGGCCCCCAAGTACTACGATCATCTAGACGACGTGCCGTTTTCGATCAAAGAGAACGTCGACAGTCCGACCTCAGCCATACCAGTCCGCGAGCGGATTGCCGTCATCGAAGAGAAGGTCAACAAGGAGGCGGAGGCACCACCCAAGAAGAAGGTCAAGAAAGTGAAGGCACCAGTCGTCAGCTCAGTCATGCTCACCAACACCAATCAACGACTTCGTAAGGAGTTCACCGAGAAGTCGCTTCTGAACACCTACAAGCACCAGCCCTACATCGCAGCTAAGCGCAGAGAGTGGGGCAACATCAAGAATGCACAAGCAATTCGACTACTTCCACCTGCTGAAGCCGATAAAGTACGTCAGGATCCCGATCGAGCTTCCAGGATCATGGGCTCTCGCTGGGTGCTCACCGACAAGGGCGGCAATCCGGAGGAGGTCGACGCTAGTAAGCGGCAGTTGATGTTCATGAGCGACGGCACCTGGAGGATGGCAAAGGCTAGCTGGACCGTTCAAGGACACACCGACCCCGACCTGCTCGATCTTGAGACCTACAGCCCAGTCGTCGGCAAGGACTCCGTGTTCCTGATCTTGCAGATCCTGTGCTCTACCAAGCGGACCTTGCAGCTAGCGGACATCACTTCGGCCTTAACCGCTGGAGATCCACTCGATCGGTCTCAAGGCAGTCTTTATGTGGAGCCACCTCGCACTGGGATTCCTGATGTGGAGGGCGGTTCGCTGGTGGAGTTACTCGAGGCAGTGTATGGCCTAGGCGATGCTCCACTACAGTGGCTATCAGCTTCAACCAAGTACGCCAAGGAGATCGGCCTCCAGGGATCTATCTTCGACATCTGCGTCTTCTACCTGAGAGACGAGAAGGGACTTCACGGCATCATGGGCCTCACGGTGGACGACATCGTGGGCGGTGGAGACGTTCTATTCGACACTGCCTGTCAGAAGCTACGAGAAAGGTTTCCTTTCGGAGCGTGGCGCCACAAGAGCGGGAAGTACACCGGTAAGGAGCTACAGCAGAACGAGGACAACACCGAGATCACGATATCCCAAAGCTTCAGTTCGAGCAGCATCCAGCTACTAATCAACATAGCCACTGAACGTCGTAAAGGGCCTCATTCTGCAGTTTCACCTGAAGAACTCCACCAAGCACGAAGTTTGTGCGGTTCAATTTCGTTTCTGGCCCGTGAGAGCAGGCCCGATTTATCTGGTCCAGTGTCCCTACTCCAAGGAAAGATGCCCAACCTGGTGGTGGGCGACTTGCTGGAGACGAACCGCATCGGCAGGATGACCAATGAATTCAGCTCGGTGATTCTCAAGATCAAGCACATCCCATTTCACGAGATGGCTTTTGTAGTTTTCAATGACGCGGCCTGGGCAAATGCCAGAGATGGAGCTTCACAGGCTGGATGCATCGTGTTCGCCACACAGCGCAATATTCTCAAAGGTGAGCCCGCCATCATCTCGATCCAGTCCTGGAAGAGTCACAAACTTAAAAGGAAGTGTGCTCACCAGTTCGGTGCCGAGATGCCGGCGATTTCAGAGGGAATGGTGATGGGAGAGCTCATTCGCACCATGTTGCTCGAGATTATGGACAGCGGGTTCGACCTGATGAGGCTCTACATGCTAGCATCTATGTTTCCAGTGATCAGCGCCGCCGACTCCAGAGGCGGCTACGACCACGTGACCAATCCCAAGGCAGGCTTGGCCGAGGACAAGCGCGCCGCCATCGACGTAGCCATCGTTCGAGCAGCCATGCAACGACCAGAAGTTCACCTTCGGTGGATCGAGGGCACCAGCCAGCTCACCGATCCACTCACCAAGCGTAAGGGCGAGAGCGCCCTACTACGACAAGCTCTACATGACGGAGAATACGGCATCATCGCAGACAGCATCGTGCTTCGCCGACGGTACGAGGACAGAGTTCGACGCCAGAAAAAGGAGCCAGCCAATTTCGCCGTGACCAGCTGCTGCTTCTCTGGGCTCCACCTCTACGAGATGGACTGCACGGGCACTTTAGGTGCCACCAGCAACGTGGACGATCTCAACTACGAGCCCGAAGCCTACAAGCGCCTCAGGGAGACCCAGCAGATCTTCCGAGAGAGGCCCGAGGCTAGCCGCTTGAACCAGGCGGGAATGAGGTCGAGGAGTTGCACGGGTTCTGAGCAGTAGAGTACCGCCAGTGTGATTCTAGAGGCCCGCGGACCCCCAAGAAGCCACCTTGGGCCCTCTAGTTGCCTGTGCAGCCTAGCCCAGAACCCCTGAACCCTTTTCCCTGTGCTGCTGTTTTGGTTTAGGGAAAGGGGGCCTGGCGGCCCCCTTTCAGGAGCTTGCGCGCTGGGTAATGAAAAGAATCCGATCAGTCTCATGTTCCCAAAGTACGTCACCCTCTCAGATGTCCGAGAGACCTCGAGGAACCAGGAGCCCATCCACAGCAGGCGCGGCATTTTCTCTGCACCCGGAGGGTGCGCAGGGGGCGCGGTCTCTATGCGTTGCAGGCGCGCAGGGCACGGCAGGCGCGGCACTCTCTCGACACCAGGAGGGTGCGCAGAGGGTGCGGTCTCTATGCGTTGTGGATGCACATGGGGTGCGGTCTCTATGCGTTGCAGGCGCGCAGGGCACGGCAGGCGCGGCATTTTCTATGCACCAGGAGGGTGCGCAGGGGGTGCGGTCTCTATGCGTTGCAGGCGCGCAGGGCACGGCAGGCGCGGGACTCTCTCGACACCAGGAGGGTGCGCAGAGGGTGCGGTCTCTATGCGTTGCAGGCGTGCAGGGCACGGCAGGCGTGGGAATTCTCGACGCCAGAGGGGGTGCGCAGGGGGTGCGGTCTCTATGCGTTGCAGGCGCGCAGGGCACGGCATGCGCGGCATTTTCGCGACACCAAAATGGTGCGCAGGGGGTGCGGTCTCTATGCGTGGCAGGCGCGCAGGGCACGGCAGGCGTGGCACTTTCTCGGCACCAGGAGGGTGCGCAGAGGGTGTGGTCTCTATGCGTGGCAGGCGCGCAGGGCACGGCAGGCGCGGCATTTTCTCTGCACCAGGAGGGTGCGCAGTGGGTGCGGTCTCTATGCGTTGCAGGCGCGCAGGGCACGGCAGGCGTGGGAATTCTCGACGCCAGAGGGGGTGCACAGGGGGTGCGGTCTCTACGCGCTGCAGGCGCGCAGGGCACGGCAGGCGCGGCATTTTCGCGACACCAGAAATGTGCGCAGGGGGTGCGGTCTCTATGCGGTGCACGCGCGCAGGGCACGGCAGGCGCGGCATTTTCTCGACACCAGGAGGGTGCGCAGGGGGTGCGGTCTCTATGCGTGGCAGGCGCGCAGGGCACCGCAGGCGTGGCACTTTCTCGACACCAGGAGGGTGCGCAGAGGGTGTGATCTCTACGCGCTGCAGGCGCGCAGGGCACGGCAGGCGCGGCATTTTCTCTGCACCAGGAGGGTGCGCAGGGGGTGCGGTCTCTATGCGTTGCAGGCGCGCAGGGCACGGCAGGCGCGGGAATTCTCGACACCAGGGGGTGCACAGGGGGTGCGGTCTCTATGCGTTGCAGGCGCGCAGGGCACGGCATGCGCGGCATTTTCGCGACACCAAAATGGTGCGCAGGGGGTGCGGTCTCTATGCGTTGCAGGCGCGCAGGGCACGGCAGGCGTGGCAAAGTCTCGATGACAGAGGGGGGTGCGCGTGGGGTGCGGTCTCTATGCGTTGCAGGCTCGCACGGCGCAGCAAGCGTGTCATTTTCTCGACATCAGAGGGGGCGCGCAGGGAACGGCCACCAACATCATTCTCACATGCTTCTTTTCAGTTATCATCAGTCCAGCCATAATGTAAGTATGTGGGGTTCCTCGGTAGCGTAATTGATTTTTCGTCCAAAATCCGCCTGCAGGGGGACATTTCCCGACTTGATTGAACCTGGGCCCACCACGCCGCGACGGGGTTCGCGGGGCGATCGGGGCCTGGCGGCGTCACGTGCACTGCGGGGCGCAGCAGCATGCCACCGCCGACACCCGGGCGCCGCACGCGGCCCCGAGGCGCAGGCTCGCGTCGGCTGACGCGTCGAAGCATTTCGAGGCCTTCCGGCAGGAAGCAGGCCCCTCCCGCGCCCCGACAGCCACGCGGGCCAGAGCGCGCCCCGACAGCACCGCGGGCCCCGACAGCCCCCGCGCCACGGCCGGCGGCTCGACGCGTCACGGCACGGCCGTCGACTCGGGCGGCGGCGCGGCGGCGGGGGGCTGGGGCAGCCCTTCGGCCAGCACCGCTTGGGACTCCTCGGATCGCATGGCGACGTCGGAGTCCCGGTCCCGGCCCGCGCCCCGCCGAGCGCTGCCGCAGGCCGGGGAGCCACGCCGAGAAGCAGCTCCAGGGGCGGCGGGGCCACGGCGGCTCGGGGCCGCCGAGCCCGCGCCACCCGCGGGACGGGTGCCGGGCAGAAGTGGCTCTCCCCGCCGAGGCCCCGTGCGCCCCGACCCGGCGAGGCCGCGGCCTCGCCAGCGGCGGCGGCCGCGGCGGCGGGGGCGGGGCAGCTGCCATTCGAACGCCCGAGCCGCGCCCCAGCGCATGTCCACGCAGGGGAGGGAGGGGCACGAAACCATGTAAATGGTATGGCCTTCCGATACCCTCCTCGCTCAGGCGGGGCCTCCCTGGAGGGGTGGGAGGGGCACGAAACCATGCAAATGGTATGGGTTTCCGATACCCTCTTCGCTCAGGCTCATCTGGCCGTCTCCAACGAGGTCGGCCCGGAGACGACGCACGAGATCCTCGCCGCCGTTCCCAGCAGCGGCGAAGTCCAGCAGCCTCCACGCCCCCACGTTGCAAGTGTACTCCAGATTCCGTGATAAAGGGAGGGGGGTCTCATTTTGGGGGGGTCTCTTCCGGGCTATTTTGGAGGGCCTGGGGGGGTCTGGGGACGATGTGTTGGAGGGTTCTCCCACGGGGGGGGGTCTGAAATGGCTTACCCCCTCCCTTTTCTCACGAACTCTGGAGTAGTCCGTGCCGTCGGGCACCCGGCTGTGGCCGCCGAGCCGCACGTGGGCCAGCCCGCCTGCGCTGTGGCTCCGAAGGCCACGCCTGGAAGTCCACCATAGCCGCCCACGGCTCGCCGACCGACAGGAGCGTGTCTTTCTTTAGATCCAGGCAAGCTTACTTGCATGCAGCTGGTTTCGGCCCCGCCGCCGGGCCCATTCCTCGATACATGGGCGCCTCCCGGCGCCGGGAGGCGCCTGTAAGATCAGCTACGTGAGCTGATTCTCTAACCCCCCTTCGCCCCTTCGCCCGGCCCGAACGTTGCCGTGCCGTGTAGTCCGTGCCGTTCGCCCCTTCGCCCGGCCCGTGTAGTCCGTGCCGTCGGGCACCCGGATGTGGCCACCGACCCGCACGGGCCAGCCCGACTGCGCTATAGCTCCGGAGGCCACACCTTTTGAAGTCCACCCGAGCCGCCCACGGCTCGCCGGCCGACAGCAGGAAGGCCCCGCGGTGGCTGGAGTTTGCCGGGGCTAGACTTGCCGATGCCGTCGGTGGCGTACACCCTAGGCGATGCTTAAGAAAACTTACGTTTTCGGCGAGAGTCTCGATGATTCTTAATGCTTCCGTGTAGATCCTAAGATTTGCATAGAAATGTTGGGTTCTTGTTCAAGTTCTGAGACTCGGAATTTCTGAACCCATGATTTCTTAAGCATTTCGCAGGGTGTGTAGGCTCACGATGGTGCAGCGGCCGCTCTCTGCCCCGCGGAGCGGCAGGGCTGAGAGGTCCCAGGAGGCGACCAGTCCCCCAACGAACCCTGTGGGTTGCTTGCCAGCGTGCCCAAGCCCGATCGTCTGCTGCGGCCAGCTTTCCCCAGTGGCGGTACGATCTCGCCTCGAAGTGTCGTCGCACGCCAATGGCCATTCCGCCAATCTTCGCCGCGCGGGCCGATGGCCGGGCGGGGACGGCAGCCGCCAGCCAGCGGGCGGCGCCCCACGCGCCCAGCAGCTGACCCATCTCGTCCGCCGCGACGTGGGTCTCGGCGAGTGCCAGCACGGCAGCGCCTCCAGGCGGGGCCCGCGCGAGAGCCTCGGCCTTGGGTCCCCACGCGGTGATGTTCTCGAAAAGCACCCAGAGGGTGCCCTGGGGTGGCCCTGCATCGCCGGCACATCCAGCAGCGCATGCAGGCGGAGTGAGCGCGGCCGCGCCTGCGCGCCCAGCGGCGCTGCCGGCGGGCTCGGCGACAGTCACGATGCCCCTGGCCTCGTCTGCAGCTCTGGCGGCATCGCCAACGGCCTCTGCAGCCTCGGCGGAATTCCCCGGGCAGAGCCGGGGCCGGTTGCCCGAAGAGCGGGCCCGCAACCCGCCGTCGGAGCCGCCTTGGCCTCGGGGGCATGCCCGCGGCATCACCCGGCTTCTCTGGGCATTGGCGGCCCGAGAGCGCGCTGGAAACGGCGCGGGCTCCGTCTCTTGGAGAGGTTCTCCGACGGGCTTAGTTGACACGTCCTCCTCCTCCTCCTCCTCCTCCTCCTCCTCCTCCTCCTCCTTCTCCTCCTCCTCTCTCCTTCTCCTTCTCCTTCTCCTTCTCCTCCTCCTCCTCCTCCTCCGCCTCCTCCTCCTCCTCGGGTCGTCTACGGCCCCGGGGGAGGCCGTGCAGCGTCGCTGCGACAGCCAGTCTGGTGATGCCCGCTCGCACTGCGCCCCCCCAGCCTCGCTGGGGCCCTGAGCGGACGGGGCCGCAGCCATCGCGCGCGCCGCCCCAGTGGCCTCGGCGGGCCGACCTGCGGCAGCGCGGCGGGCGGGTTCGTCAGGAGCTCCGCGCGCTGGCTTCGGCACGCGCGGCAGCGCGGGCGCGCTCCGGCATGTCGCCAGCGCTGCCAGCAGCAGGCCAAGCCACCGCCTGAGCTGGTGGTGCTGCAGCCCGCTCGCGTCTTTCCGCTTCCTGGCAGCCGGATCCTGCGCGGCGCTGCGTTCCGCGGCCGCCGCGGAGGTCTGCTGCCTGAGCGGCACGAGATGGGTGGTGCAAGCGCGCAGGCCCTCCTTGCACCGCCCCAAGCTGTCCGTGGTGATTCGACGCTGGTCGTCTTCGAGCTCGTCGAAAACCAGGAGCAAGTTCGAGGTGACCAGAGCTCCCTCCCCGTTCTCCACCTTCGCCGTGAGCATTGCGAACAGGGGCCTGGGCCTCGCGCGGCGGGGGGGCTTGGGTCTCGGCCGCGCCGCCG